CACTTCGACATTTTTCACTGAATTGAACCTGGATCGAGATCATGGCTTGGCTAATTGGCAACGACTTCTGGGACATCACCGTTAACATTTAGGCGATTAACATCCTCACAACTTTAATCTTGGAGAGCTTGATCGGTGCTTTCCTGGTGGTCTAGTGACTCAAAGAACGGCGAGGTCTGTCTTGAGATAATAAGGTTATAACTGAGGTGCGTCTATTGTTGGTTGAAAACTACTATTTCCAAACCCGTTCTTAGGCCTTGGTTAAGCCATGTGCCTTTGAGAATTTATAGAAAAGATCTCTCGTGGGAGTAGGTCCTACTATAAGAAAAAAAAAAAAAAAATTCTATTGTGCAAAAACGTATTGACACAACTTTTTTTAATTAAGTATTATACCCATATCAGCACATAACAAAAATTTTACAAAATTGGCAGAAGAATCATATTGATTTGCAACACCTATTTTCAAGGACTACATTTATTGATTTTCAATTTTAGGGACCATCTTGATGATGTGTTCAATTTCAGGGACCATCTTGATAGTGTGAGTCAATTTCAGCGAACATTTGTGATAAAAACCCGTAAATTTTGTGGGGCCCATTTATGTGCGACATCAGCATTTAATGAAATTTTTAATAGAATTGTGACGGAAAGACCATTGATTTGCGACACCTATTTTCAAGGACTACATTAATTGATTTTCAATTTCAGGGATCATTTGTGATAAAAATCCAAACTAATATAATCTTATGGCTAATACATGTATTTAGTCCTTACATGTCCTCAATCTAAAACCCTAATCTAAGGCAGGTTGCAGAAACAAATGCGGAAACCCACAATGGATAATCCAAGGAAAACATGTAGCAACAGCCAGCAGCAGTAGAAGAGAGCAATTAGGAGAATACTAGCAACAAACCCTAATATAAGTCTTTGCGGCAACAGATTCGAACAACTTCTAAAGGATTTAATGATGGAAATTCTCCCGAGGGTCTCAGTCAAGGACTTCTTCAACTGCAAATGTATTTGCAAATTTTGGCTTTCTACAATTTCTGACCCCAAATTTCCGCAGATGCACCGTTCAACATTAGCCATTGGCATCTTGAGCCAGAACATAACCCCGGGGGCAGCAGGCTACAGGAAGCATTCAAGGAAAGCTGAGTTTATCCAGTTTCAAGAATCTACCGGCGGTTCCGAGTTTCAGGTCCAGAAAATGTGGTTTACTTCCGAAAATAATCTACCCAGTTACCAGTTTCATATGATAAACTCGTGCAATGAGTTACTTTGTTTGTCTAGAATCAACCAAAATTACACCTTCTATGCGTGCAATCCAATCTTGGGTGAGTACATCACCCTTCCCCCGACCAAATGGCCCACTTAGTGGAGAACTGTTTCAGGAATTGGTTATAGTGCCACGACGAATGAATACAAGGTATTGCGAACCTATTGCACAAAAAATAAGGGATTCGTGTCTGAGATATACACCATCGGTACAGGACAATGGAGAAGCATCAGATTAGCTTATGTTCCTTAAAAATATTTAAATGTTAAGTTGCAGTGCCATAGTTTTTTGCATGGAGCTCTTCATAGGATTACCCATACTGCAGAATCATGTATTGATTCTTTCGACTTTGAAACAGAACAATTTAGACCAATACCCTTACCGAGAAAGTTGTCATTGCCAATACCTGATTTGAAGTTGGAAGTGGCAGGAGGTTGTCTTCTTTTATGTACGTCCTGTAATCTTACTTGCAAAGTTGACCTGTGGATTATGAAGGACTACGGTGTCCAGGACTCTTGGACTAAAATTGTTGTCAGGGCTGGGGTCCTTATTTATTCGAGTTTTCTTGTGTCTCTGAACAATGGGGACATCTTAGTGTACAATTACAGTCATGTAGTTAAGGTATTCTGTGTTGTGTGTGTGTGTGTGTTAGTGTACAATTACGGTTGTGTAGTTAAGGTATTCATCTTAACCGTGACTTGTCATCAATTGTCCCTGTTTTTAGGGAAAAAAAAATGCTAGGGAATAAGTAATGATCCACATATCTGATTAGCGTTTTATGAGCATTTAGCAGAGATACTGGGTAGTGTTTTGAAGAAGTAAAGAATCGAACTTGGATATCATGTGTTTGATATCTTTGAAATTATATAGTTGGTGCCATTCTACCTAAAAAGTTTAAATGATTTTATACTAACGTTGGGTGGAAATGGTATTGTCATGTTATTAGCAGATGTATTTAATGATTTTTTATTTTTATTTTTGTGGCTAAAATTGTGGAATGGAAACACATTTGTTGATCAACAAAGTTTAGTTCTTTAAACGAATTATGTCAACATGATTCATTCGCATAGCTGAATCTTGAGTCACTTGATGCATATGTGACAAAACCCTGCTAGAGATCAACAATTTGGTTTGTAGTGGTCGCCGCATTAGGAGAGCGGTGGCATCAAGACCGGTCCTTCTCTGCAACTATTCTTTTTAGTCGCGGTGTTCTGATTTCCAGCATCTACAATGCCAATTGTCATATTTAATTCATTTACGTAGTTTTAATGCTAAAGAGCCAAAAACCAAACTTGATAGTAAATCGGACTAATCTGTGGATATACATGGTATCATGAAAAAGAGGGCATCTTATAAGCTAGGATCTCCAGATTATATTTTGTTGAAGGTATTCTGTGTTGTGTGTGTGTGTGTGTTTTTCTCCTCAAATTGCAATTTTTTAATTCAATTTTAATTCATGTGTCGATGGGTAATGTTAACACTATTTTGATGGTTTGAATGGGATGATTTACAACAACTTCTGCATTCATTTCAACTATCTTTCTTTTGGTGTTTGATTTTCTTTTCCTAGATTCTGTTTTGCAGCTCATGAACTGCTCTTCGCAAGCTTGCATGTTTAATCAGCAAGCAAGTGACAGATTGTCCTGTATTACATGTAGCACTCCGATGACTTGGCCCTGATATACAATTTTGCTCACCTAACCTCTGGCCCTTGCCTAGGTCAAATTAAAAGAATAATACAAATCTACATAGATTATGATTTATGATGTTTTGCATGTAATTTGTAAATAGCACAATGTTTCATAATCTTTTGTGTACAAGAATTTACTAACGTTTTCAATGTAAACAATATTAACATTTTGCAACATAATCATTATATCTTTCAAATGTAATTTTTCATATAATTTTTAATTCCGTAGCAACATACGGGCACAAATTTCTAGTCTACGTACTAAACATTGAAATTGATGTTCCTTGAATGAAATATTTTGGGATATGGTTACTTGGAAATGTTTTAGACTATAAAAACTTGTTCTTGACAAGTTTAAGTTTTGTAGCTTGTAATATTGTTTTTACCGCAATTCGTGAATGTATTATGCCTTTATTTATAGTAGTAGGAGATGTAAATTTTTTATCCTAATAGGATTACAACTCTAACAGGATAATATTTAACCTAAGAGATACAATATAATCTACCAAGGATATCCTAGATATGATAGGATTTACGCAATCACATTCCTATAATAAGTAGGACTGCAACAATCTACATTTTTTGTGTGAACCTTTTTTGTTTTGACCACCCAATTAAAGTCCTCGATGCGCTACTGATTATCAATCTCCATCTGAGAAAAGAAAAAAAATCGGAGATGGTCAATCTAAATTTAAAATAAGTAAATATAATTCTTCCAAAACAAAATTCTAAACATCATATTTCATTCAATGTAAATTTCTTGAATCTACTTTGAGTTGTCTCATGAAAAATACTAAACGCTCACAGGTTTACGAGTTGAACATCAACATTTTCAAGTTTGACTTGTTTCTTATCAAGTCAAACATATAGGCTTGGCTTCTTAATTTCAGGAGCCGAACTTTAACAAACCAAATATGAGTCAAACCTAATACATGCTCGAGTAATTTTAAGCTGATTTATTTATTTGATATACACAAAAAAATATGTTTACATTAGTGTGAAAAAATAAGTTGGTTGTAAACATTGATGAAAATGAATCTTACATTGATGAAATGAGAGATCTTGCATGAACTTATGAGTAAATTAGATTACTCCTTATATTGTCGATTCGTTTTATGACGGAATAGCCCAACTTACTTATAAACCTATACAAAGTCTTTCTTCTTATTAATGTGACGTTGATTCTCAACAACACGTCATTCTCGACATTTACTTCCATTATTTTATAAGCTAATTGAGAATCCCAATCAAGGCTTCCTATCACTCTCTCACCCAAAAAGAAATGTCTCCTTTCACTCACATATGTGGCCCGGCCTACAAGTCACACACCAAACCCAAATCAGACTTCCGCAGCAAAAGTTCCCAATCCAAAACTAACCCCCCCATATGTTAGGACTCAAGCCAGGGGAAGAGCCCAACCCAAAAGGCTAGCTTAATAGGTGGGAGGACCCCAAGGGTTTAAGTATCACTACACCATTTCTGGTGTAATCGATGTGGGATCATATCACACCACCCTTCGGAAAACCCAACACCCACATGGGCCCTTACTCTAGTGGCTTTCACTCTTAACGGCGGCGCACCCTCTGGTTGTCCTGTTAGGGTAGCCCTTTTCTAGATTGCCCCCTTTGCAGGGTCGGGACTCGATGCCCACAACGACCTTTTCTTTGGTGGCTTTCACTCTTAACGGTGGCGCACCATTTGGTTGTCCTGTTACGGTAGCCCTTTTCCAAGTCGTCCCCTTTGCAGGATCGAGAACCTAGGCTCTGATACCAATGTTAGGACTCAAGCTCAAAGGAAGAGCCCAACCCAAAAGACTAGCCTGATAGGTGGGAGGACTCCAAGGACTTAATACCACTACTCCATTTCTGGTGTAACTGATGTGGGATCATGACACCACATATATATATATATACATATATATACATATATATATATTGCGATTTCATCCAAAAAAAATATATATAAATTGCGATTTCAGAATTTTTATTTAAAACCCTAATCTGATGCAGATTGCAGAGAGCAAGTAGGAGAAGAATGGCAACAAACCCTAATCTACGTCCTTGCGACGGCAGATTCGAACAACTTCCAAAGGAGTTAGTGATGGACATTCTCTCAAGGGTCTCCGTCAAGGCCCTCTTCAGCTGCAGGTGCGTTTGCAAATATTGGCTTTATAGTATTTCTGACCCTGAATTTCCACATCTACACCGTTTAACATCACCCATTGGCATATTGAGCAAGAACGAACCCAGGGGGCCACGGTACCACGTGGAGGATTCAACGAAACTTCAGTTCACCCAGCTACAAGAGTCGGCCTGCGGTTCCGATTTCCAGGTCCAGAGAATGCAGTTTACTACCAAAAATAATCTACCTATTGACAAGTTTCATTTGATAAACTCGTACAATGGGTTACTTTGTTTGTCTCGAATAATGGACAGAGATGACACCTTCTATGTGTGCAATCCAATCTTGGGTGAGTACATCACGCTTCCCCCGACCAATTGGCATTCTCATAATTGGTGGAGAACATTTTCAGGGATTGGTTATAGCGCCACGACTAATGAATACAAAGTTTTGCGAACCTCTCGTACAAAAAATCAGAACTTAGTGTCAGAGATATACACCATCGGTACAGGAGCATGGAGAAGCATTGGATTGGCTCCTGCTCTTGAACAAAACATTCATGTTAATTCGCAAGGCGATTGTTTTCTGCATGGAGCTCTTCATTGGATTTCCAATAGTGCAGAATCACCTGTTTATTCCTTTAACTTTGAAATAGAACAATTTCGACCAATACCCCTCCCAAGAGTAAGAGTTAAGTCATCATCAGTATACGATTTGAAGTTGGGAGTGATAGGAGGTTGTCTTCTTTTTTGTACGCCCCATTATCATATTTGCAAAGTTGACATGTGGATTATGAAGGATTATGGTGTCCAGGAGTCTTGGACTAAAATTGTTCTAGTCACAAACACTGCCAGGGTATTATGGGGCCTTAGATACTGTTGCAATGTTTTTAGAGACTATCGCGGTGTTCTTGTGTCTCCGAAAAATGGGGACGTCTTTATGTACAATGGCGGTGTAGTTTGTTATAACCAAGAAACAAAGAGTTTCAGGGAAATTGAAATTACTCTGACTGACGAGAGGACACGTGATGCAATTTCTTACAGTCCATCCTTTGTTTCACTCTACAACCTAGGAGAGGAGGTGAAGTGGTACTAAAACTATACTTCCTGTCTCCTGACATATTTATGCCTAAATTTAGTCACGTCTCTCTGCTGCAACTTTTGTTTTTGTATGCTTACCATGTGATATGCAGGGTTCGAGGCATTAAGAAACCCAAAACAAAGCTGTTTGCTGACGGGAGATACCATGGTGCTTGTTCTAGGGTGCCACTCTTCAAGTCCTTAAAGTCCTCCGTTAGTTTTCATAGTTCATATATCTATTCATTTAGTCTTTCTTTGAATTTGTCCGATGGTTGTTGATTATCTCTCCTTTTGTTGAACAATTAACGTTCTTTCTTTTCAGCTGGATTTCACTCTGAGGACATGTACTGCATGCACTACCTGCGGCGGGAACTTGGGTTATGTTTTCAGAGGTACGGGATTCCCGATGTGTCAAGAATGCTTCGACGCAAGTTCCTGCTGAGAATTTTGCAATTACTTTTGCATAGAAAGGTTTCAGGAGGACCGGAATGCCAAAAGCTACTTGGATGTCTGAGTTCCTAAACCCTAATAACTATGCTTCCGTAGAACAAACCGCAGATGATGACTTTGTTTTGTTAAAACTTTTGATTAATGTCTAAGTTTCCTAATTATGAATACTCTTAAGGTGTAAGTCATATATTCCATCAATCAGTTCCTTTAGGCCTTTTGAGTTCCTCAGCCCCATCAAATGCAACCCTAGCCAGTAGCCATGCCCATGGCTATCGCTGCCAGTGCACTTGAGGTTCGGAAACTTAAATCCCACGTAAAATGAGACTCACCACGTTCAACCCTAATACGTGTGCGCGCCTAAGGAGTGGCAGAACCTCCTCAGGCAATGAACCAAATTTGGTCCCGAATGCACGCTAGGATTATTTTTGGATATTCGGGACCACAATCTGAATGAACAAGGATCGTTTGGAATGGAAGGTGGCGAGATCGATTCGTGCGCTCACTGCGTCTATCTTTAATCGTGGTAGTGATGAAACATAAACACAAATTGTATGCAAAGACAATCAAGAAATGGTAACAATTTCATTTATAAATCCGGTCAAAAATTGATACAAATCGGGAAATCTTGATTGCAGCGCATCTTTTGCTATGATCTGACTTTCCCCTGTCATTTCTTCCTCCTCTCATTGCATGCTTTCAAGGCCTGAACTTCTGATGAAAATGTTGTTCACACAATATTAAAACAGGAAATTCACAATTAGTGGAAAATAAAATAAAAAAAATGAAATGAAAAATAGCAACCCGGTTGGCAAGATTTCCAATTCCTGCCAGTCTTAACAAGGCATTCCTGCAAGCCACAGACCGGATTCGGGTTCTTCGTGATTTGGGGTTTAGGGTTTTAGAATTTTAGATTCTAATAAAAAATTGGGGAACATATTTGTTTTACCTGTAAGGAGAGGTAGAAAGCAGAGCATTGGTTGAGCTGTTTTACGTTCTCGTCGTCGCCTTCTACATCTGCGTGGAGAGGTGGTAGTTGCGGCGGTGGCGGGTTGCTTTCTCGTGGATTCGGGTGGGAGTGGGGCTGAAACGTTCTTGGAATTTGGGGAAATTAGGGATTGGATTTGGTGGAATCAGGGGGTTGTGGGTGTCTGATGGGGCAGGTTTAGGGTTTTAGAACTTTTGGGAAATTGATGTACTTGCAGTTGTGGGTCCGAAGAAGAGCACAAACTGAAGCATTTTTTCAGTAATTTTTACCAAAAAAATAAAATCAAACAAAACGGCGGCGTCTTGGTTGAGACAATTTATTTAAAAAGTTCTTAGGACGACGCTGTTTTTGCCCTGGGTAATTACTTATGACTAAGTTGTATTGCCGCTAGGTGGATGGTCTTAGTTTCAACTTTTATATATGATGAGTTTGATATTAATATATTATACCAAGTTGATTGTGGTTAACTCAAATCTCCTTACTCTTTAGTGTAAATTTATATAGTTGTCCCACACATAAACTCTTTTTGACCCCCGGCATATTCATGTTTAATTATGTTCTTTGACCTGTTTGATTTCTTCAATATGATAGCTAGAAATAAAGAAGTTCTGTGAAAATCACATCTCAATAAAAATAAAAAAATAAAACCTTTCAACTTCTTTTCCGCATGGCTACCTAAATTGTTGGACCAATGAATCTTTTAATTCGAAGGCATTTATCAAGGGACATTTAGAATTAGATGCCTCATTGTGCTATTTGTTAGATTAAACACCTATAGCTTTTAGATTTTTTATTAAACATTTTCCTACATTTTAGGTCCACATGTATTATAAGTAGCATTTTATTAATTCAAAACTACACAATTTGCCATTAGAGCAACTCCAGCGTTGGAGCCCTCCCCCTGGCAATACACTATTCAATCCACCTAATGAACATTAATTGCCCTTAATGAACAGTAAGTAGCCCTGGCAATAGATTTTGCATCTCCACCGTTACACTTCTATAGCCCTGGCAATAGGCAATAAAATATTAGTATTTTTTTTATTTATAAAATTAATACAAAATAATTTTAAACGTAATATCGGATAAGATTTTTAATCGTTCTCGGTGCGCCACGTGTCATTATCCTAAGTATTATTAAATAATACAAAATAAATAATTATAATATGGATTTCTGATAAGATTATTAACCAATCACGTCGCGCCACGTGTCATAATCGGTTCACAATCTTTGAGGATAGATTTCCATCAGATTTTAAACGAATGACGGCATGCCACGTGTCATAATCTGTTAACAATCTTGGATGATAGATTTCCATCAGATTTTTAACGAATGACGGCATGCCACGTGGCATTATGCAGAACCTAATCCTTTCTGAATCCTCTATATAATCCACCATCCATCTTCACAAATCTCACACCAAAATTCTCAAGATCTCTATCATTATTCAAAATTTCTGCTTCCTTATTCACAAAAATCAGTTTCAATATTCATAGTTTCTGTTTCTTTCTTTCAATGTCTTCTTCTTCTTCCTCAAGGATGATGTGGGAATTGAATCAGGAAGAGGAAGACTTGTTTAACCAATCAGAATCAATGATCAATCACCAGGGGGTAAGAAATGAGAGGGAAGAAGATGAGGAGCGTCAAATGAGAGATGACGACGTAAGAAGGGGCAGAGCCTCACATTCCCGTCGAGTCATCCAAGCTGCGGCTCAGATCTGCAGGCCTAGGCGTTCCGGAAACCTTGATAGAAGCAGGCAACGACGAGGTATGGAACTCTTGAATGATTATTTTGTTCCTAATAGTGCATTCCCTGATACGTACTTTAGACGTCGTTTTAGAATGGAACGACATTTGTTCAACAAAATCATGCTTGCTGTTTGCAACCATGATTTTTATTTTGTGCAAAAAAAAGATGCTTTTGGTGCTATGGGTCTACTGCCGGAGCAAAAAATTACTGCTGCCTTGCGGATGCTTGCATATGGAGCATCTGCAGACCAAGTGGATGAGATAATGAGGATGGGGCAATCAACCATTCTTGAGTCCCTGATGAGGTTTTGCGGAGCAATCGAATCTATCTACACCGCTGAGTACCTCCGCAAACCCACACACATGGACTTGGAGCGGCTGTTGAAGAAGGCGGAGATGCGTGGCTTTCCTGGGATGATTGGAAGCATTGATTGTATGCACTGGACGTGGAAAAACTGTCCAAGTGCATGGCAAGGCGCTTACGGGGATAGAAAAGGGGCAAAAAGTATCATTCTGGAGGCGGTGGCATCTTTTGATACATGGATTTGGCACGCCTTTTTCGGGGCCCCGGGAGCTCAAAATGACATCAACGTCCTTGCCCAATCCCCAGTGTTCAACGATGTCCTGCAAGGAAAGGCACCAAAAGTTACATATGAGGTCAACGGACGTATGTACGACGGGCCATACTACCTAGCTGACGGCATCTACCCGCGCTGGTCAACATTTGTCAAAACAGTGCCACGTCCGCGGAGTGCGAAGGAAAAACACTTTGCAAGCTGTCAAGAGGGGTGCAGGAAGGATGTGGAGCGTTGTTTTGGTATCCTCCAAGCTCGCTGGGCAATCGTCAAGGGTGCTGCCAGATTGTTTGATGTAGAGTCGCTTCGATCCATCATGATGACGTGCATCATTCTTCACAACATGATTGTGGAAGATGAGTACGATTATGAAGCTGTTGATGAATATGAGCCAGACCCGATGAACAATTCAAGAACACGTATATATTGTGCTCAGGACGCCACCGATGACCCCGTGCAACATGAGCCATTACAAAGGGATGGACGTTACAATGAAAGGCTCATTCAACGATATACTGCATTTCAAATGCCAGACATGCACAATGCCCGACAAATTGACTTGATAGAGCACCAGTGGGCATTGAAACAAGCTGAAGATAATTAAGTTCATTTTAGTGTGTTATTTTGAATTTGGTATGTTTATGTTATTTTATTTGGTGTGTTTTATTATTTGGTATGTTTATGTAATTTTTTTATGTTTATGTTTATGTAATTCTTAGTATATGTAATTCTTAGTATGTTTATGTTTATGTTTATGTTTATGTAATTCTTAGTATGTTTATGTTTATGTTTATGTTTATGTTTATGTAATTTTTTTATGTTTATGTTTATGTAATTCTTAGTATATGTAATCTATGTAAAGGACTTTTAATTAGAACGATGGACTTTTAATTATTTTATACAAGGACTTTTAATTAGAACGATGGTCATGGTCATGGACTTTTAACAACATAAATAACTTACCAAATTAATTCTTAATATAAATAACTTACCAAATTAATTTGAATAAATATTCATGAACATGGAAACAACATAAATAATACAAACAATAAATAATAAATTACAACCCAAAGTGATTGGAAAATTATGGGCTCCGATTACAAAAAGTACTCTATTCATCATCACTTAACCAATTTGTGGTGCTAGGATGATCTTCTCTTGCGGTGCTAGAACCACCTTGGCTTGCTATTGTTTCTCTTGCACGCCTCCTTCGCACCACGTCCGCTTTCTCTGACTTCCAAAAAAATTTAGAATTTGGAGACTTCCCTTCTAAAGACATGTTCATAATCTCACGATCTTGTTGAGCTCGTCTTTCTTCTCTAACATGTTCCCTTTCTTGCCTAAGTAGCTCTCTTTCTCTCTCATTAGCATAAAATTCTTTCTCAACAGCTACTGCTTTTGATGCCTTATCAGCCTTATCAGCCTCATCTTTCGCCAGTTCCCTCGCCAAAGTCAATTCACCTTGGCGAGTAAGTTCTTCCATGAACTTTGCATAATCGTTCTTGGAAGCACTCCCTTTTCTCTTTGAAGCCTTCTTACCTTGAGGCCTAATTGGAAAACGGGTCGAACCCGACGCTTGTTCAGGGAGGGGCGTTTCGGGCACTTCTTCTGCATCATCTGCTCTCTCATAATCGGGTGTAGAGTGTAGAGGGGTGCTGTTCATGTGCACTTCTGGACCAACTGGCACAACTCTAAATTTAGGACAATCTTTGACAATATTCCAACATTCCCACCGGTTGAATGATTTATTTTTGCTTTTGGTTTTGGCAGCGTACCAAGCTTGTGCTTGAAGTTCCTACACAATAAAAATAAGTAACAAATAAATAATTATAATGAAAATAAGTAACTAGCAAATATATACATATATATATATATATATATATATAAGTAACAAAGATAATGAAAATAAGTAAGAAGGCTTCAAGTTTAGTAAATAATGAAAATAATTAACAAATAAATATATATATATATATATATGTCATGTTAATCATAACAAGCAAATATATATATATATATATGTCATATTAATCATAACATGGGGCTAGAGTTCCAAGTTTAGTAAATAATTTTAACCTTAAATATACACATTTTTTTTTCTTAGTGTAAGTGATATTATACATTAATTTTAATGAAAATAAGTAACAAATAAATAATACAAACAACATAATTATAATGTAACAAATAAATGTAACAAATAAGTAACAATAACATAATTATAATGTAACAAACAAATTAATAATACAAACAACATAATTATAATGTAACAAACAACATAATTATAATGTAACAAATAAGTAACAATAAATAATAAATTTTGTACGTAACAAATAAAGAATACAAACAATAAATAATAATATCTTGTTACCATATCCGAGTAATTTTCCCCACTTCAAATATTATTACTAGCTTGTGCCAAAGCGTCTCTCCACGTACTAAACGATTGGCTAAGTAATTTCCAACGACTGGACATCGATTCTTTGGTTCTTTTCCCACCAATTTTCTCAAGATAATTGGTATGAATAAGACTCCACATTTCTCGCAACTGCATCTCATTACCCGTAAGCGAACTATGAGTAACTTCAACCCAGCTAGTACACAACGCAACATCTTCAATAAGCGACCAATTCGTACCTGCACCAGTGGTCATTTTGTTGAAAAAAAATGGATTCAAACTTTGAGACAAAGAAAGGAATGTGATTGAAAGTAGTTGAGAAAATATGAAATTATTGTGAAGGTAGATGATAATGAGAAGGTATTTATAGAAAAGTAAAAACAATTTTTTTTACAATTTTTTTCAGATTTTTCAGATATTTTTTTGAATTTTTTTGAATTTTTTTGAATTTTTTACACTTTTTTTTAAATTTTTATTCAATTAATTAATCTCTGCCGTTTGATATAAAAAAATTTGAATTCCAACGCTCCAGATTGTGCCACGTGTCACAACGGTAACTTTTCAAATTTTTTAAACTATTATTTCATTTATTTTTTAATTTTTAAAG